CACTTCTGCGGTGTGTGTGTGTGTGGGATGATGGTGGACAAATGAAGCATTTGAATTACAGAAAATGAAGCAGGAATGTCTCCTCTCCTTTTATCTCTCCCTCCCTATCAGCTCTCCCTGACTCTACCTCCCCAAAGCCAATACTACCATCCATTACCACAAGTGGCCTGGCTTCCCCTCTGTGCTCTAATTGGAAAGCTGGATGGCAGTAGGTTTACCCAGTAATGGGGTCCTGCAATTTGGTATCAGAAGTCATCCTGGAGAGACCTGTCTCAATTCATAGAAGAACACCGTTGTGTGCATCCCACTTTGCAGCTCAAGAAGAAAAACCCCTGCATTTCAATACTGCAGCTCTAAGCCTTTCCGTAATTCAAGGTGGCGTCATTAGAGGCTTATTTATTCACCGGAGGCGTCTGCCAGGAGGGAGATGATGCCGCCCAGATCAGCTGTGGCAGTTCACTCTCAGCACCTCCCGCAGAGCTAGAGAAGGGGAAATTACAGAGGAATGGGAAAACATGACAATCATAGCATAGTTACTGAATTAGCACCAAAAGAAAACAACCAGCCGTGTGTAGGTATTGAGGGATGAGTTATATACGTTGTTCAGAGGGCAGCACAGTCACGACAGTCTGTGATGTTCCAAGAGGAGGAGGAGGTGTAAAAGGGATAATACGGCACTCAGTGAGATGCACACTAGGTAAAAAATGATGGTAATGGACTTTGTAGGCTTTCAGGGTAATGTGGTAAACCAAGAAATTGTCTAAAAGGCTTTTTACAGCAAGGATGAACATCCATGTAAATAATTTGCACCTCAGACATACCCACAATCTTTCTCTAGCCTACTCTAACCGAAGACGGAACTGTTTGGCAAAACACTCAACCTGATTATTAGAAAAAGCTCTGGATTTGGGACATTTTTAAAGGAAAGCTTGAGATTTTGGAAAATGTGCTTATTTGCTTTCTGGCAAAGATAAATACCAATACCATATATTTCCTATAAATAATTTATTTGGTGCAAAAAATCTAAAACTGACGTAATACGAACAGGATATGTGCCCAACATTTTTTTTTTGTTGCTAGAGGCAATCATTTTCTGGAGTCTTCGATGGTTGCATAGCAACTGTTCAGAAAAAATACATAGCCCAGCTTATAACCCCTCGTAAAGCAGTTAATTCACATTTTAGTTTGTTTTTTAATGGTGAGATACGACGCGTTTTTTGATGAGTTTAAGAGGCAAATGTTGTATGTGATAAAAAGAGCTAAATAAATAAATAGCTGTCTTTCCCTGGTATTTTTAATATTAATTTGTAGCTTTGCTTCCTTAGCTTTAGTCGGTGTCATTGTAACATCATTGCAGTGCTTTTACGGCAATGATACTTGTACTTTGAGGTCCATGACTTAAATTACGTTTTTTTGTACTTGCTCCACTTAAACTGTATTATATTATAGTATGCCAAGGTAAGGTAGGTTTCACTATGCTGCTTTCTAAGGAACTACACTGGCCTTCACTAAATTATTCCACGGTATCATTTCAGCTCAAAGAGGAACATTGTAATTGTTGACACTACCTGTAGACTCGGTTCAATTCATGAAATGCAGGTGGATTATTTTCTCTTTCGGTGTGAAATGCAAAGAAAAGGCAGGACATTATCTGAGTCAGTGTGACCCAAGGTTGAATTATGTAATGTTGTATGCACATGTTATGCATACTTGCTCTGAGTTTCTGCATCACACTCTTGTTAAACAGCTATAGTGCTGTCAAGTGAGGTAAAGGTGAAGCAACCTCAAGTCCCATTCACTGTCATAGTCCTACAATGTTAAGACTGATTCCTGATAGACTTTTAACATGGCAATTGATGATATTATGTAAACTGTTCTGATCAAACACCACTCACACAAACGTATGCACATTCATATGAATAAGCCAAGTGTGTCATCAACAATCGTAAATCAATCTTAAAATTGCCAAATAATAAGTTTCACCATTAAGAACCAACACTTAAAAGTTGACAAACCATTTTATTTCTGCAGTCACTCGGTAACCAAATGTTGTCCTTAGTCAGTGTGGTTTTTAAAATACATTTAGGTTGCTAATGTGCAATGTATATATATATATATATATATATATTCTGTGAATAACCGTGCAATAGGGCTACTACATCTTCAGAACTGTTACAGGCTGTGTATTTTTGTATTTTGTAAATTGTGTAATTCTTTTTTTTTAATTTAAAAACATTTTTTTATCTTTAATATTTGTTTCTGTTTTTTATGCATACTTCTTGTTAAACTTTAAGCTGTCTTTGGCTCTTTTTCTGCTGGAACAAATGTACATTTCCCCTCTGTGGGACGAATAAAGGTATTCTGATTCTGATTCTAACTGGAAACCCACTTTTAGCCCTCAATATCAATTGTCCATCCTTTGGCCCCTCACCAACAGTGCTTGCATTGTCTCAGCACTGTTACCTAGCAACGAGACTCACTATACGATCGTGTTTAGGATGGGGTTTATTTAATGAGGGACAACAGATGGCAGAATCATATTTTGTTTATGCATTAACTGTGTCCGAAGTCCCTCTATCACTCATTCACTTTTCTCTAGATAATACAACATGTTTCATACTAAACAGTGAGCAGTACATTGAGATTAAGGACACTGGCAAAAAGTAAATAACCTGTAATTAATTTTGTTTCCATTTTTGTATTTTCTAAAAGTTCACGCAAACTTAAACATATGTTTGCGGTTACTAAAATAAAAATGCAAATAGTCAATCTTTTTAAAACTGTTGTCTTGCTTCATACTTAAAGATACTCAAGAACAATAGTTTTTGGAAGACATGAAACTAAATCTTGGATTAGTGTCTGAGGAAGTATATGCTGTTCTTCACAGATATTCCCCTTTCTCTATAGTTTGACTGATTTCTATTGATCTTGTATTCTCTTTATTACTTTGTGTTATGTTCTGCTGCAGCAAACATTATTATGCAGTAAAGCACTTCTACAGTAGCTTTGAGCTGAAAGACTGAGGGCTCCTCATCCTAACCTTAGAAAACCTCTCGGTCCTCTGCCAGGATAGGATCAGTAGACAACCCCAACATTTTCAATTTTGTGCTATCAGACACTGAGGAGATGTGTCAACAGTGGGGTCCTACAGCAAGTAAACACAGGAGTCTGACAAGCAATAACCTAGATTCAACATCACCTCCGGTCCTCCCATTGAAGGTCCGCTTTCATCTCATTTAGATCGAGATCTGTGGATCAGAGATGACGCCTATCCCCGAAACACAAAAAACTCCAGTGATGAGAATGTTCTCATGGGCAGTCCCTCATAACTTTGAGCATTTTGCCGGTTTGCGGCTCGGTCAACACTCGCTGGGGTGGTACCATCTGTAAATCAGAGATGTTTTTTTCCTTGCACCATATAGCTTCCAGTTATATGAGTAATGATTGTTTTAATGAGGCACCATCTTGTGTTTGACAGTTATCTATTATCTCTTAATATATCATTAGTGCTGCTCATACAGTCAATGTATTCAGAGTCTTTATGGGCTTTATGTTGAGTAGCAGTGGTAAGGTAGGGGGTCCAGGCCACAAATCAGTATTTTTAGTACAGTTAAAATGTTAATTTATTCACTCAGCCACATCCTCTGTATTGTTGCCCATAATAGAGTGAAGAGGAGGTTGGCTGCAGCTAAACTGGACAGAGCTCAATGACAAAAGAATACTGTGACATCAAAAAGTGTTGGCAGTTTGAAAGAAGAACTCGTGAATTTGTTGAATCAACTTTTCTTTTGTTAGTTTTTTTTAGCATCAGGAGGGATCAGAGGGTTGAATAGTTTGAAGCCCCAGACGACTGAGAAGCCATTACTGTATGGCACAGTCCACTGCAGAAAAGCTCCCTCTGAGATTCAAATCTTGCAGATTAAAATAGTGTCTCATAAGCCTGTGTATATGTGTGTGTGCAACTGTGCATGCGTGTTTGTGTGTGTGTGCATGCGTGTGTGTGTGTGTGTGTCAGGATTTGTTCTCAGTTGGTTGTGTTGAAATGCCTTTGTGGGTGGCTGCATGTGTTTTCAGCGGCCTAAATACCGAAGCTTTTAACACCAAAGCACCGTTAAGATTTAAGTGCAAAGAACTTTGCCAATTATGACTTTAAGTGATGTCCAGCAAAGACTGTTGATGAGCTGCACTCACTCAAAAAAGACAAAGCTTCCCTGTATTCTAGTTCCAGACCAATGAATCACTGCCCTCGTCTCATTTTCTTTCACTCATTTAAAAAGGTCTGCTTTTTGTTCTTGTGAATAGCTGTTTGGGAAATGATAGAGCCAAACGAAGGATTTGTGGGCGGACCAACTGTCTGCCAAGCTCCGTCAGGAAATATTATACATAGTTACAGTCGACGGCTTAATCTCTGCTTACGGTTTACTGTGAAATAATACAAATAATAATGCCCACGATGACATCACTGTTTAAAATGAAGGTTACGTTTATCATGCTCTGTTAGCAGACACAGACAGCTGAAAGCAGCCCTTCATTACTGCCTAACAAATACATCTCAAGTTTGGTAGTATGAGAACAAATGTACTCAGTGTGGAATAAAGACAGTGACGTTAGTTGATAAGTTTGCTAATTTAGCTCTAGTTCACTAGGCATGTTACCATCTTTCTTTTGAAAATGCAACAATTATTGCAATTAGAATCTTTTTTATTATCCTTGTCATTACAGTATGACTTCTAGCTCCTAAAAAATATAATGTTTTGGTTTGACAAGGGAAAATCCAATCCTCCTCCCCTTTAGAGACGGTTAACATAATGGCAATGTCCAACTGAACCATAGAGACATAAGGTATAAGGTACCTGGTATGATTTTACCAAAAGTGAGAGATAAATCCAATTTCAATCTTTACTCTCTAATGTAATATACAATATGTATAAATGATGTTGGTGAGCTAGAGGTTGCATTTTTGAAAATTCTAATCTTGTTTTTTTCTTCCTTTTGTCTAGTTCCACCCAAGATATACGACATTTCCTCTGACATCACGGTAAATGAGGGCATCAATGTGTCGCTCATCTGCACAGCCAGTGGGAAACCTGAGCCAAGCATTTCCTGGAGACACATAACCCCATCAGGTGAGTTCACTTCACCTCTCACACACCTATGCTAATGAATGGGCAAGCGGATGAATGGATGGACAGACGTATGGGAGGATGAATTGCTAGAGGAAATGAGGAGACATGGACAGGATCAATAGGTGATAGACAGAGGACGAGAGAGGACTGGTAGTTATGTTGCTGATGAAGGGGGGAAGGGATGAAGAAAGACATTGGTGTGGTCGACTCCACTTCGAGCGTTATAACTATTAACGAAGCACTTTTATACTAATAAAGGACTGGCTTACCTAAAGCCAGTTGAGTAGCACTTGAAATGTTTGGCTCTATGAAACCTGATGTACTTATATGATTCTGTTTTCTTCAAGGTTGTGTCTTCCTGGTCGAATGTACTTATTGTAAGTCGCTTTGGATAAAAGCGTCAGCTAAATGTAATGTAATGTAATGTAATGTAATGTAATGGTGGATCCATGACAGAACAGGGGAGGTGTAATGGATAGATGTAATTCATATTTAAATAAACATACAATATCAGTGAGACCTGACTATTGAGCTTCTTCAATACCAATGCCATCTAGTGCAGTGTAACTAATGCTAGAGGCAAAAGTCAATTAGTGGTTTTCTGTAAATCAGTTCAATCAAATGGTTCCTCCTACTGGCCAACGTTTAAGAGATACAACGATTAGATAAGGGACTAACTTATTCAAATGTCTTAAAATTGCATGTATGCCCTCTCAACCTCAGCCTAACTTTGGGGATAGCTAGATAAAGATTTACAATACAATTACACTAACAAGGAGGGCACTCGGAGAGCATAAACCTAGGCCAATGGTGCATTCACATGCTTCTAGGATGCTCCCATTGCTTGAGTTGGGAAGTCGTTCTTCCATCTTCTGTGTTTTCAGGAGCTCTAAGTCATAATGTTGAAACAACATGGATTCCGCTAAGATGTGTTGTATTCGTTTTTAAGTTGTTGTTCAGACCTGAGGGGATTATTTTTTCCAAATATTCTGACTCAAGATGAATAAAGCACAAAAAGTGCCTGGCATAATAAAACATTTTCTTTTAGATGACCATATCACATGAAACTAGCCACTTCAGCAGTATATTTGCGTATTGATTTATTAAAATCATATTAACATATCCTTCGAGCTAGCTGATGACCTCTATAGGGTTTTACTTTAAGTAATGCAATCAGTTGAAGAAAATACATGTTATTTTTTAAATATAATTAATCTATGCTGAATTTGTTCATATGCTGTAGAGCAGTTAGAACATTAATGTTCCTACTTCTAACTTCTATGTTCATTCCAATATGAAATGCCACTCTTTAAACCGCTAAGTAACAACAACAGATAAACCAAGCCATGAATTATGTTGCTCGTTTAAGCCAGTGTGTAACCATAGTACATCCTGCTCATGTGTATTAAGGATATAAAGTATACAAAACAAAGCTCTCTTCACTGTAGGGGCCCAGTGATTTATTTGGCAATTTGCACACCATCATTTAAGGTGAATTAACAAAGATTTTATTTTAATTATCATAATAATGTATTTAGTTGGCTGCTAGTCAGAGCACACATACACCATTAAGTGCTTTGAATACTGAATCCTGCCTTTGATAAACTCATTCCAAAGCATTTAACTGTTGCTGCAAAGCCCCCACCCAGCCAATGCTAGTCCTCCCTCATTTTCATATTAATGGATTAGAGCATGCTGTGCTTATCTGATAGCTATGAGGATGACTGCATTTATCTTATGGCTGTCAAATCCTCCTCTCTGGTGTGCTTGCCCTGATTGCGTTTTCAGAAGATGATCAAAAGAGCCATCCTTAGAGTCCGAGTGGCAGTCACTCATTCTACTTTGAAGTCTCCACACTTTGAAGTATGCCGGGAAATAAATGATATGCTGGTCAAATAAAAGGGCCCGGGACTAAATGTAATCACAGACTGTCTCACTTCACATCAGAAAGGAAGCCATTCACCATGGGATCTTTGAGTCAGGTTTTGTAGTGAGGGCCATTTGTCTAAAGGACGTTGTACAACTGAAAGGTTGTAATAGGCTAATTACCTATCGATGGAAATCCATTAAATCTCTTGCATATGAAGAACAGTCTGCTCCAGCCACTGCACAGGCAACCTGAATGTGTAGCCACATTTATAGAAATATTTATCTTAGTTATGAATTACCCATCAGAAAGCAGCAGATCTGCAGCCAAACTACTTGAATACTATTTTTGTACACTGTAGTGAAATATTTGTATGTATTCATGTTAGCAAACTATGGATACGCTTAAAATGGGAATAATTTGGGTAAAACTGTGAGCTGGATTTGGGGCCTGTTGACATGTGTTTTTGAGGACAAAGGAAGATGGGGGAAGGTGAGAGCATGTCTTGATTTGCATTCAACTTAGATCTAGCTACAGTGATTGGGGAAACCTAAGGTCGGAGGTGTTAGGGATATTTGGGGCTGCCAATCAAGGAGGTCCAAATGGGAGGATCTGATAACTCCTCCCATTGTCAAAGAGTATAAACACAGACACACACGCGGTGTTCAGGCTCTTTCCTCTGGCTGGCTCACGTGCAGGTAAATTCGGGATCCCAAAGATGAACTGTATTGAATTTGTACTGTATTGATTGTATTGCATTGTCATATTACCATTAAAGTAGATTATTGTTTACTTGGTAGCACTGGATTCCTTCCTGTATCGGAGATTTGAAAAGCGGACCAGTTATCCCTTTAAATCTCTAACAACACATACTTAAAAACAAAATAAATAATTGTCCCCCATTACTGAAGTTATATAATCCAGCAATTTATTTTTGTTTTTAATTGGGACAATATTTCTTTATTACGATTTAACTCCTACAATGATATTTTAATGATTAAATAGTATTGTCATTCTCACCAAATTAGAAATGTGGATGGTGTTTGTGACAAAAATAAAGCTTGGATACTGTTCCAATTATTATTTTTTATAAAATACAGGTTTATGGGGACAAACTTAGTTTATTAACTCAAACTCTTTTAATATGTGCAAGTGTATTGGATTAAGTTAATCTATAGAAGTATCTAATTGTTAAAAAAAAAATGGGAAGGAAGGGGATAACACATTTTAACTTTTATATATTTCTCCCTTCAAACATTGTATGTATTAATGTAACGAACCATACGTTTGGAATCATGAATTGCTTTAACATCTGATCATATTGTTACACCCCATCATAAAACCTTTGCTGTTTGTATCTGGTGGAAGAAATAGCTTTCAGTGACGTGAGGCCAAGCAGGTGAAATGGCTATAAAGTCACAAATGTGTCTACATGGCAGGTTTTATTTGTGGACCTTACTCTCTTCAACACTCCCCATTTTGGGGTGAGGTTCGTGATTTTTTTTGCACTGTGGATGGTTCTGCTGCAGCAGTCAGTGAAGTTTGACAGGATGATAAATTGCCCTGACTGACTGTCAAGTTCCTATTCCCACTCCGACTGTTTTGTGTTCGCATTTTTCACTTCCTGCCAACCAGCAAACTGCCAGCTAATAATACACTTTCTGCATCCAGTGAAGTGTGGCCACAAACTGTTTATTGATACGATAATTTGGCTTAGTAAGTGTGCATATAAAGTCTTTCTTTATATTCTTTATTCAGAGAAAATCTAACTTTAGGAAGTGCTTGTGACATACAGATCATCTTAGTTGACATGCTGCTGGGAGAAAAAACTGTGGCAGCATATGTGTGGAGCTTAATGTGCTTAAATCATCATTGGTATTTTGTGTAACAGTTTAATTACCGTGTACAAAATGTGCTTGGCAGTCAAGACCTCGGGAGTTTGGGATGATTGCTACATGATAAGTGCGCTCATGACTGGAAAGCCCGTCCGAGTCCCTTTATCAGCTGGTGAAATCTGGATGTGCAAAGTGACTGTTTCATGCTCGCCCTAACCTTATTAACAGCTGTTGATGTGCCCTTGAGCAAGGATTGTACCCCCGACTGTTACAGTGCTGCATTCAATCACCAGCTGAAAATAATGAATGGGAAGCTGCCAAGTTTATGAGTATCAATGAGCTAATTTTAGACCCTTCAGCTCCTCCTCTAGGATTCTGATCTTCTCCAACAATGTTTATGGTAAACTGAAAGCTTAATTTAAAGAAGAAGTACTCTTAGTCATACAGTGGTAATACTGCTAGAAGCCACTCCGTCATTTTTTATTTAGCTCTCGACATCTCTACTTACATTACTCCTATAGCTCACAATATCTGGGTGACATGTCAGCCTTCCAGGGTATTGCTTACGCATGGAGTCCTGTGCTGTGGTTCCTTGACACTCTCCCATAGGTCATAGGGAGGGGGGTGAAGTAGCCTTTAACAGAGTCTGTTTCTGTCCGGTTTGGTTGGGTGGATAACACAGCACGGCAAAATTGCTTTGATAAGCTCTTTCAATTGAGATTTGAATCCATGGGATAGAAGTGTGACCTTTGAAAAGGCTGACTAGGATACTAGAATACATATTTGATAGTTTCCTATGATAGGACTCAGCTGGGACACATTTTTCTCTTGTTTGTCTTTAAGTAGCTGCTTTAGTGTACATATATCATATACACACCGTTTTTGTTTGCCTTTGCATTTTTAGATTGCAAGGCACATCTTCCCCAAACTTCCCTCCAAGAAACAGACAGTATCATCCTTTACATCAGGGGTGTCCAAACTACGGCCCGGGGGCCAAATGCCCATTTTGAAACGGCCCTCAGCTAATTCAAATAGTATAATGAAATATGGCCCACAAATTAAACTTGTGTTTGTTACATATATATGTACAAATATATATCACAGTATTCATGTGTGCCCACTCTTCAAATAAATGCAATCAATTCAAGTTGGAAACATTTTCAATCTGATCTTAGTTGATATAAAAAGCCTTATTTGCATAACAAATATTTTTATAAGCAATCTGAAGCTTCTGTTTTAAGGCATGAGCTGCAAACTAAATAACTGAAACCCTATGGAGAGCTGTGACGTAGGCTGTT